TGGCGTTCTTGTGGTGCTGTGGTGGCCATGCAAGAGCTCCGATCGCAGGGTGCCCTCCTGGCCCCCCCCCCGATGGGCTGGTTTCCATGTTTGCGGCTGCGCCCCGCCAGTTCTGTTGCAAACCAGGGCCTTGGCGGAGCTGGAGAGTGGGAGAAGACTCCTCCACCTCCTCCTCCTCCTCCTCCTCCTCCTCCTCCTCCTCCTTTTCCTCCTCCTCCTCCCTTTCTTCCTCCTCCTCCTCCTCCTCCTCCTCCTCCCTCCTCCTCCTCCCCCTCCCTCCCTCCCTCCCTTCCTCCCTCCCTCCCCCCTCCCTCCCAGGTCTCACTGGGCTGGGCTGGGCTGGGCTGGGATGGTCTGGGTTGGGCTGGGCTGGGCTGGGTTGGTCGCTCTTTCCCCCCTCTCTTCCTCTCCTCCTCCCTCCCAGTCCTTGCTAGAGGACTGACCTTTCTGCAGGACTGCGGTGGGTTCGGGAGAGATGGATTGAGCTGGGGTGGGCTCTTCCCCTCATCCCTCCTCCCTCCCTCCCTCCCTCCCTCCCAGTCCTGCGGGATCGGGTTGGGCTGGGTTGGTGAGGCCTGGGCATCTGCTCCTCTTTCTCCCTCCTCCTTTCCGTCTCTTCTGCCTCTGCACGGCCCGGCGTACACTCCTGCATCGGCTCCCCATGCGACCCGGGGTGCCTCCTGCCTTTGGGGAGCGCGGTCGAGAGGGCGCTTTGGAGATGTCTCGCCTGGGCCTCTCTGCCGCCCCTGCTTCTCCACCCCTCTATCCGCAGCCACGTTGTCCCGAGCTGCAGCGCCTTTCCATCTCCGCATCCCTCCTCACAGCCATTACAAGGCCAACCAACAGCATGGGGTCCGATGGTCCCGAACCCGAGGCCAGCCAGAAAGTTTTGGATTTCTGGATGCAGGAGCGTCCATCTCTCCGGCTCAGCCTCCGCGCGGCGTCGCGCACGGAGGAGAAGAACCAGGCGGGAGGAGGTCCTTGTGCGACGACTATCTTCAAACGCGCCGTGCGTCACCAGTGGTCGCTGATGTCGGCGGCAGACAAGCGGGCGTGGGCCGCTGCAGCAGCCACTGGAGGCCCCGCCCCAGGGCAGCCCAAGCTCTGGCAGGACGTGGACCAGGCGTCCGCTGGGCACCAAGGGCAAGGGGCTGACACGCCACTGCCGGCTTCGACACCGTCTCAGGGTGACTCCGAGGCCGGGAGCGGCAATGGACTAGCGGTGGCCGGCACCTGCTTCGGCTGCAGGGCCACGGGCTGCGAGCTTGCTCTTGGCCAGGGAGCGCACGCTCAAGAGGCCTACTGCCGCACCTGCTGGGACCAGTGGGGGGCGACAAAGACAAGCGCAGCACGCAGCGAGGAGTGGAAAGCCGAGGTACCGGACGATAGCGTGGGCGAGGCCCCGTGGAAAAAGCTGCGGCTCCTCTTGGCCTCGCCTAGCCACGGCGCGGCTGCGGTGCCACAGCCTATTCAGTGGGGCGTCCCAGAGGCCGTCAAGCGGGGCTCATGGGGCGTAGGAGGCGGCGCAGCCGTGGCGCCTTCGACTATGGAGTGGAACGCCCAGGGTGGCTGCTATGCAGGGGCGTGGGAAGCGCTTCGCTACGGCGCAGCACCGACACCGCAGGCACCAGCCTGGAGCGCAGAGCCCTCTGGCTGGATGGGCTGCCAGTCGGCAGCGGCGTCCTGGGCAGTCCAGCCCGGAAACGCCCAGCAGGCCCTTCTGGGCAGCGGTCTCCAGCTCTGGGGCCCCGGGCAGGTGCCGGCGGGAGCTACCGTGCCCCCAGGCTTTGGCAGTGCGGGCGAGGGCGCCCAGCAGGGAGTGCTCCAGGCGGTAGAAGCGGACGTGGTGGACCCTTTGTTCCCGGAGTACAGGCGGCTCCATGAGCATGGAAACTCGGGGGCGGGGCGGGGGCAGTCCAGCCAGGGGGAGGAGAAGAGGTACGACACGTTCTTGCGCCTGATGCCGGACGGCAGCTTGCCGTCCGACAGGACCATCCTTAACTGGGCCTCGACGGTCCCAGCCGGCAACCCCCTGCTCAGGCGCGGGGCCGAGTGGCACTACCTGCCCAAGGAGAAGGGCAAGGGCACCCAAAGCACCAAGAACAAGAGAGCGCCAATTGGACTCGTGTTCCAGTTCGGGAAGAAGCATGGCGCGGTCCACATCTGGATGCGCAAATCGGGAAAAATCCACATCGCTGCTGCCACAGCGGTGCGCGAGAACATCCTGTCCAAGATGCTCACTTGGACGGCCCCGTACAGCGACGGCGTGCTCCCGGCGGGCCCGACGGATGAGCCCTTGCCGCCGCTGCCGCCCGCGGCCTGGACGCCGCCTTAGCGAGTGAGCATGTGCACAGAACTGCACCGCCAGTCCCCTCTCCTCCGCCTCATCCTGCCTTCCGTTGCAAGCCCCCCCTGCGCTAGTGCAGTCCTAGTCGTGTCGTGCGCCCGGCGTGGTGCCCAGACGCGGCAATGCGCGAGGCTCTTGGGATGTCTTCTCTTGGTGTTTAGTACACGGAGGATTTTGTATGAGTTTCGTACCGGATGTACGATTCTTCCTCCTCCCTCTTCGCCTCACCTCCTCCCTGTCGCCCCTTCATGCATAGAGCTACTTCGCTCTGGAGTTGTAGCCGGATTTTCATTGACACTTTATAGAATTTTGCAGTGGGCTTTGTATAGGTTCGTGCGTGGAGTTTTCATGAATTCTGCACTCGAGTTGCAAACATACCTGTGCAGACTCCCCTCCCTCCCTCTCCCCCTCCCCCCTCCTGTTCAGTCTCTGCCGGGCTGCAGCGGGCTGGGGCGGTCTGGGACGTGCTGGGGTGGGTCTCCCCCCTCCTCCCCCCTCTCTCCTCCTCCCTCCCTCCCTCCTGGTCCTCGCTGGGGTGGGATGGGCTGGGGTGGTTCCGCGCCGCCGCCTTCGCCGTCTGCGCTGCCGTCGTCGTCGCTTTTGCCGCTGTGCTGTCTTGTCGCCGTTGCTTTGGCTGTCCTTGCCGCCGCCGCCGCCGCCGTGGTCGTCGTCGTTGGCGCTGGCGCCGTTCCTGCTCCCGCTCTCGCTCGTCGTCGTCGTCGTCGTCGTCGTCGTCGTCGTCGTCGTCGTCGTGGTCGTCGTCGTCGTCGTGGTCGTCGTCGTCGTCTTCGTCGGCGCTTCGGTGAACGGAGGCCTTCCCGGCCGTGCAGTGGCTGCGGTCCGTCGGGATTCGCCCCCGAGCTCCGCCGCCGCCGGTTCGGAGGGACGCCCCTGGTTGCCTCCTGCCCCCGGGCAGTTTTTAGAGGTACCGAACAGGTTCCTGTTTGGTACGGGGAAAACTGCCCGGGGGGGCTGCTGAGCCCGACGCCGTGGCCGCCGGGCGCGTCTTGGCCCTGCCGGGGCTCCCCGGGCAGTTTTTGAGGTACCAAACGGGCCCCCGTTTGGTATTGCGAAAACTGCCTGGGAGGCCCGGGAGGGCCCGCCTCGGTGGCCGCCGGGCGCGGGTGTCTGCTCGGGAGGCCGGGGGAGTGCCTCCTGGCCCGCCGGAGTGCGCTTCGGGCCTCTTCTCTTTCCGGGTGGACCCCTTTGGAGCGAAGATGAAGCGCTTCTTGCTGCCCTCCCTCCCTCTCTCCCTCCTGGTCGATTCCCTCTTGGAGGTCTGTGTGGAGTTCCTGGGTCGGCGTTGGGCACCCCTCCCCGCACCTGCTCTGTGCGGGGGACGCTGTTGCGGCAGTGTCTGGAGTGTGGAGAGGGGGGTCGGGCTCCGACCTGGACCTCGGCGCGGACCCCTTGGAGCCGGTCGTGGCTGGGGTGGGGTGGCGTTTGGGATGGGTCGGCAGCGTGTGCTTCCTCCCCCCCCCTCGGATCCTCTCTCCCTCCATCCGGCTAGCCTCGTACCTACGTCGTGCGTTGGCGTAGGATGGAGCCGAGACCGGGCGAGGATCCCTGCCGGAGGGCCGCTGATGCCCCCTCCCCAGGAAGACCCAAATCTAGCGTTAGCCTTCCGGCTTTGGGCGTGGCACCTCTCCGGAGGGAGCCTGGGAAGCTGAGGGAGGTTTGGGCACGGTGGCTCGCAAGGCCTCGTACCCTCCCCCTTTCTCCCAAGGCTGCTTCCCTAGAGTGGTCTCATCCATCCCTGGGCTGACGTTGCGGGGTTGCTGTCGGTCGCCGGTGGGGCCCCGCAGCTCTCTACTAAAGGGGCTGAGCCCGCAGTCCCAACATGCCACCTCGCTGGGAGGTCACCAACCAACCAACCAACCTCCCTCCCTCCCTCCCTCCCTCCCTCCTCCCTCCTCCCCTCCTCCTCCTCCTCCTCCTCCTCCTCCTCCTCCTCCTCCTCCTCCTCCTCCTCCTCCTCCTCCTCCTCCTCCTCCCCTTCCTCCCACATCTCACTGAACACCACTTCATCTTGCTGCCATGCATCGCCCCTCTCGGAGGCGCTGGTCCAAGCCGTGTAGTTTGTGACGTTGGGCTCCAGATTCGCCTCCTCCATGTCGCTGAGAACCATCAGAACCCGCTTCCAGTGTTCGTCCTTCTCGCACTCGTTGATCCTAGAGCTGCAAGGACGACGACGGCAGCCTGTGGTGCGTCCCGCTTGTGCACATCAGTGCATGCCCAGCTCTGCAAACACAACCACGCTTTGAAAGCTTGTCAAAACAAGGAAAACATTGACGGCTGCGTTCTGCCATGCTCTTCAAGGTAAGTGTCCTGGACCATGCCAGGGCTCGATTCCGCTAGCCGTGGTGTCTTGCAGCATGTTCGTCCTTGCAACACGGTGATGCTCCAGCTGCGAACCACTGCGTGGTAAGACTTGCCAATCCCCTGTCAGAGCACTTCTCGAGCCAGACTCATGGAAAACATTTCAAGAAGCACGGGACAGCCCTTGCTCTGGCAGTCGTTCCCAATCGCACTCCAAGAATGCCGACGACAGACACATCCACGCCCACGAAATCTGCCTCGCAACTATAGTAGAGGCAGTACTCGCAGAAGCCCTGCAGCTGAGGTGGCGGCTTCGGCGCGGACTCTGCATCGTTCAGCCGAGCCAGGAAATCAGGGCCTGGCCGCACAGCACATCCCACGTGTCGGGGCAACGACGACGACGACGACGAGACCTCACAGCCACAGCACCCGGGAGTCTGAGGCCCCCAGGGCCCCGCCGACCCCTGGCAGCGCGGCAAGGAGCTGCGCGTGGACGCTGGAGGGCGGGTTGATGACCAGCACGCCCGATCCCTGCAGACCACCTCCGCGCGGTCCCGAGCTCTCGAACCACATCTCCGCCACGAGCACGCGGCCCGCGACGACGCTCCGGACCTTGCTGTGCAGGCTGGCGCCCGTCTCTCGCTCCGGCAGCGGGTACCACAGGGCCACGCAGCTGGAGGGCGACGTCTGGAGCAAGCGCCTGAGGACGAAGACGTTCCACGTGTCGTGGGACTACCTGGAGTCGTACGGCGGGTCCATGAGCACCAGCTGCCGCCCGCTGGAACCCGGCCAAGGCCCCAGAATGCACCGCAGGTAGGAGTCGTCGTGCAGCAGCGTGATACAGACCTGCCCCTGGGTCGAGCAGGGCGAAGCTCCGCCTCAGGGCCTCGTAAGGCTCGGCGGCGGCCTCGAAGAGGAGGGCGCTGTCCTGTGGCCGCAGCCACTGCCACGCCAGCGCAGGCGACCCAGGGTAGAGGCACAGATCGTCTGGAGAGGCACCCAAGGCCTGGTTGCACCTCCACACCGACGCCAGGTAGTCTGCAACCACGCCCTCGCCGAAGGAGTCGGGGTGCGACAGACGGAGCACGCCATCCTCAAAAAAGCGGCATCGGAACGGCTCCTCCTCAGAGAGGAGGTGGTAAACACCAGAAGCAGCGTGCATGTCAATGAAGGTGAACGGATCTGCAACTGCCGCCATTTGCTGCAGCAGCGCCACAAGAACGATGTGTTTCAAAACGTCCTTGGGGCCACCTGCCTCGAAGTTGTGCACGTACCAGCACTCGTCTTGGCTATTCTCAGCAGCAGGGTCCACGCGGGCTCCCAGCATCGACTCCAGCAAATCCAGGGCATTGGCCCACTGCCCGCTGGCCTCGCACGCGCTGATCCCAGTGCCGTAGCTGATGGCGTTGGGCTCCAGCTTCGTCTCCCGCATCTCGCTGAGCAACGCCAGAGCACGCTGCCACTGGTTGCAATTCCCGCACGCGCTGATCCCGGCGTTGTAACTGACGAGTGCGCACTCGTGCGAAACATGCACCTCTGGCAGACGACACCTGTCGTGCAGGATGGCCGCGGAACTCTGGCAAAGGGGAACGGGACGAGCAGAAGGAAGCCAGCGTGCCGTGGTCTGATCACAACAAAGCCCACCAACAACGTGCCCGTCTCAGAAGTCCCCCAGCCTTCTGAGCAACAGCTTGCCCTCTTACATGGACTGACTACCCACCAGACCACCCCAACCCAACCCGAAGACCCGAATTTCGGGTTGGGGGGGGTACGGGCTTCATCTGTGCTGATGAGGCCCAAGACGGCCCACGAGGCCCCCGAGAGGGCCACCAGACGGCCCAAGAGGGCCCCAAGACGGCCCAAGAGGCCTCCAAGACCTTCTGGCATGCGGTTCCCCCAGCGTTATATGGTAGATCAAGTCGGGTTCCAAGTTCGCCTCAAACATCGCGCTGATCAACAACATAGCCTGCTGCCACTGCCCGCCTTTCTCGCACGCGCTGACCCCAGGGTTGTAGCTGACAAGGGCTCCATACGGCCCTCCAGGGGGCAACCGACGGATGCTACAACAGGGGGGTCCGTTTTAGCGTCCGTCGGGGGGCGGCGTCAGACTGTCTGGAGACGATGAGGAAGCCCGAAAGGAGCTCGTGGGCCTCACCGAAAGAAGGCCGTCCGCGCCCGCAGACGTTCCCAGAGAGGTCCAGGACGGCACAATGAGGCGTCAGAAATCCCCCATGAGAGGACGGAGAAGGGCGTTGACGGATACTACAGCAGGGGGGTGCGTTGTAGCATCCGTGGGAGCTTACGAAGGCCCAAAGACGGCCGTTGGGCCGTCTTGTTGCGCTCGTCGGGGCCTTGTGGGCCATCATGGGGTGATCGCGAAAATGCCTGAAGCTGCGTGGGGCCGTCCTGGCCCTGTCGTGGCGAGTGTGAGAAGCATGGGAAACACACAAAGTGTTTGCTTGATTTCTGGTCTCGTGGGTCCGTCTTCGGAATCCTCGTGGGCCCTCTTGGGTCGTACCCGGGGGCCCTTGGGCCATCTTCTAGCCATGAGGGGGGTCTGGGGCCGTCTGGGAGTCTTGCTTGGGCCCTCCTGGGCAACTCTTGGGGCATCACGGGAGGTAACCTGAAGCTCTATGAGGCTCGCCGGGGCCTGTGCTGGGCCGTCTTGGGACCCTCGTTGGCCGTCTCGGTAAGTTCGGGAGGGCCTCTTGGGCCATCTCGGCGCAATCGTAGAAAAACCTGGAGCCGTGCGGGGCCGTTCTGGACCCGTCATGGGGAGATCATCGGGGTCCACCTAGGCCCTCTTGGGCCGTCTCCGGGGCCTCTTGGGTCGTCCTGGGGCCATGTTGGGGGTCTCGGGCCGTGTTGGAAGTCGCTTTGGTGCCTTGTGGGCAGCTCCGCGGGCACTCTTGGGGCTTCTTGGGGGCCACCGAGAGCTGTATGAGGGTGTCTTGTGCTAACCGTCCGGGGCCGTTCGTGGCCCGAAACGGCGAGAACACGAAAAACCTTCAAAAACCACACGGACATCTACAATTGTTAGCCTCGGAAGGCCGTCGTCGAGGTCTGGTTGGGCCGTCTTCGGAAGCATTTGGCCCGTCGTCCGGTCGTCTTGGGCTGTCATGGGGTTTAGTTTGGTTTCTCTTGGGACGTCCTCCCGCCGTCCCGAGCGTCTCGGAGCGGTAGTGGGGCTGCCTGAGGCCGTCTTGGAGCCACGTGGGGGTTCTCTGGAGCCGTCCGGAAGCGGCGGGGCGCTCTGGGCGCTCGGGGGCATCTCGCGACCTTCTCACCCCTTTCGCACGGCGAAGACCAGGATTGTAGTCGCCTCCCGCATCTCGCTGAGTAGCGCGAGCGCCTGCTGCCATAGGTCGACCTTCCCGCATGACGTTGGGCTCCAGCTTCGCCTCCCGCATTTCGCTGAGTAGCGCCAGCGCCCGCTGCCATAGGTCGCCCTTCCCGCATGACGTTGGGCTCCAGCTTCGCCTCCCGCATCTCGCGTAGCAGCGCCAGCGCACGCTGCCATGGCTCGTCCGCTGCCCCGCTGCCAAGCTCGCCCACTGCCATAGCTGCCCGCTTCCCACACGCGCTGATCCCAACAGTGTAACTGATGCTGTCGGGATCCAGATTCGCTTCCCGCATCTCGCTGAGTGGATTCCAACTGCGCTTCCCGCATCGCGCTCGGCAGTGCCAGCGCCGGCTGCGACCGCTCGCCCTTCACGCACGCGCTGATTCCAGCGCTATAGCTAATGACGTTCGGTTTCAGGCTCCAGCTTCGCCTCCAACACCTCGCTCAGCAGCGCCAAAGCCATCGACCATTGCTCGTCCTTCTCGCACGCGCTGGTCCCAACGATCCAACTGAACAAACAAATGTGTCGAACACGGCATGCATTTTATCATGCCCCCGTAACTAGGACAAGCACTTCCCTGAATAAAGACAGCACTTGACTCCATTGCCCGCCTTGCTCGCACATGCTGGCGGTAATTCCGTAGACAAAGAAGTCGACGTTCAACCTTCTCAAACGCATGGCTCTCAGCACGCTCAGCGCCAGCTGCCACTTCCCACCCGTTACGCACGCATTGGCTCCAGCGCTGTAGCTGATGCCGTCAGGCTCCAGCTTCATCTCCCGCATCTCGCTCAACAGCGCCAGCGCCCGCTGCCAGTGCTCGCCCTTCGCGCACGCGCTGATCCCAGCATTGTAGCTGATAACGTCGGGCTCCAGCTTCACCTCCCTCATCTCGCTCAGCAGCGCCAGGGCCCGCTGCCACTGCCCATCCTTCTCGCACGCGCTGACGCCACCGCTGTAGCTGACGACGTTGGACTCCAGCTTCAGCTCCCGCATCTCGCTCAGCAGCGCCAGCGCCCGCTGCCACTGCTCGCCCTTCTCGCACGCGCTGATCCCAGCGCTGTAGCTGACTGGTGTATACCCGTGCTTGCTATTGCGCTGCGTGCCGCTCGCCGCGCGGCCTTTTGGGGCCGTCTTGAGCGCCTCTGGGGCAGTGTCGGGACCGTCTTGGGGCCGTCGCGCCAGAGGGCACGAAGAGGGCCCCCAGAGGGCTCCAAGAAGGCTCCAACAGGGCCCCAGGCCGCCGCCGCGCGCGGGCCCACCATTCTGCCACGAGAGGCCTTTCTGCGGCAGAATGCGCCCGGCCCTGTCTTGGAGGAGCCCGAAGGCCTCACGAGGGCCGCAAGAGCGCCCCCAGGGAGCCCCAAGAGGGCCCCAAATCGCATGTACTTGATATGATTATTGGGCTTGCGAGAGGGGCACCCAAGTACATGCGTCATGTGGCCTTGTCGGGGCCCTTCTGGCCCCCTCTTGGGGCCCCTCGGGAGCGCTCCCACCTTGTCCTGGCCCCCTCTTGCAAGAAGAGTCCGAACCGAACTGGTAACCGTGAACCGGCGGCTCCTGCAACCGAACCGCCCGAACCGGAGCCCGAACCGGACCAGCTGAAACCGGACCGGGCGGTTCGAACCGAACCGGCCGGTCGAAACCGGCCCGAACGGCAAGCCCGAACCGGGTGGAACCGAACCGGGCCCCGGGACTCCCCACCGGCCCAAGAAAGCCCCCAGAAGAGCCCCGGTGCCGGCCCCCCCCCCCCGGTGCCGGCACCCCCCCCCCCCCGTGCTGCACCCCCCCCCCTGGTGCCGGCACCCCCCCCGCCCCCCCCCCCCGGTGCCGCACCCCCCCCGGCCCCCCCCGTTGCCGGCACCCCCCCCCCCGGGCCAAGGCACCCCCGCACCCCCCCGGTGCCGGCACCCCCCCGGCCCCCCGATGCCGGCACCCCCCCCCCCGGTTGGCCCCACCCCCCCGGTGCCGGCACCCCCCCCCCCGGTGCCGGCACCCCCCCGGTGCCGGCAACCCCCACCGGTGCCGCACCCCCCCCCCCGTGCCGGCAACCCCCCCCCACCGGTGCCGGGCCCACCCCCCCCCCGGTCCGGCCCCCCCGTCCCCCCCCCCCCCCTCATCTCTTCCTCCTCCCTCCTCCTCCGCCTCCTCCTCCTCCTCCTCCTCCTCCTCCTCCTCCTCTCCTCCTCCTCCTCCTCCTCCTCTCCTCCTCCTCCTCCTCTCCTCCTCCTCCTCCTCCTCCTCCTCCTCCTCCTCCTCCTCCTCCTGCCTCCTCCTCCTCCTCCTCCTCCTCCTCCTCCTCCTCCTCCGCCTCCTCCTCCTCCTCCTCCTCCTCCCCTCCTCCTCCTCCTCCTCCTCCTCCTCCTCCTCCTCCTCCTCCTCCTCCTCCTCCTCCTCCTCCTCCTCCTCCTCCTCCTCACTCCTCCTCCTCCTTCTCCTCCTCCGGCCCAAAACCGGCCCCCCCAAAACCGGACCGTCCCGCGACCGCCGAACCGAACCGGCATAACCGACCCGGATTGGCAAAACCGGACCGACCAAAACCGAACCGGCGCCGAAATCGAACCGCTGCAACCGAACCGGTCCGCCGCCGAACCGGCCCGAACCGGCCCGAACCGGACACTTCCTGCTCTTGGGGCCGCCATGGGCGTCTGAGGAGCCGTCCTGGCGCAGCCTGGAGCCGTCTTGGGGCCCTCGGCCTCCGGAGGCGTCTTGGGGCGATCTTGAGGGCCTCCGTGGCCGTCTTGGACGCTTCGAAGGACTCTCGAAATGCACGTTGTCCCCGAGGATTGGGCCCACTTTTCCTGGTTCGGGAGGAGGAGGAGGAGGAGGAGGAGGAGGAGGAGGAGGAGGAGGAGGAGGAGGAGGAGGGTGGAAGGAGGAGGAGGAGGGCTCTCCTGGCGCTCTTTCTGGAGCCCACCCTCCGTGGGCGGTTCCGGAGCGCCCGTGAAGCCATCTTGGAGGCGCGCCGGGGTCCCTGGGCCGCGCCGGCGGCCGCCGGAGAGGGGGCCGGTCAAAACTGCCCCTGCTCGACCCTTTGGCAAGCGGTGAACGCTGCATGTTACAGTCGGGGCGTTGACCTAAGGAACCCTAAATAAGGAACGAGGCCCCTTTTTTCCATAACTCCGATTTCCTGTTCGAAAACACAAGGGAAACCTGAGGCAAGCTGTGAAGCACTTAAGGAACGCGGAGCCCCTCCCCAGCGAAAAGGGTTCCTTCTTCAGGGCCCCGACTGTAGGAGGGATGACATTGGGCTCCAGTTTCGCCTCCCACATCTCGCGCAGCAGCGCCAGGGCCCGCTGCCACTGCTCGCCCTTCTCGCAGGCGCTGATCCCATAATTATAGCTGATGACATTGGGCTCCAGCTTCGCCTCCCACGTCTCGATCAGCAACGCCAGGGCCCGCTGCCACTGCTCGCCCTTCGCGCACGCGCTGATCCCAGCATTGTAGCTGACTAGGGCTGACCCGTGGACCCCGTCCACGACATCTTTCTGGAATGGTTCTCGGAGGAACGGCGCAGATTGTACCGAAAATCTACAAACACGGCGGCGGCTCGGGCGGCGGCAGCGAGACCGCGCCTTCGTGTCCGAGCTCTTGCAGCGCTCCAGCAGCTTGGCCCAGCGCACTGCTCGTTCACCCCCCTCCTATTGAGGACAGTTTCGAAGTCTCTCGGGGATGTGCGTCGAAGTCGAAGCCCATCTGAAGCGTCTCAGGAGCGCTCGGGGAAGGGCTCGGGAGGCCATCGGGGAAAGCCACCGAAAGCGCCGGGGAGGCACGCAAGGATCTACAGGGAGGGCACAAGAGAGCTTCAAGAAAATTTGAAATCCGGTAAAATCTTGAGAAAAACCGCTGTTGGGTCGGCCATCACCTCCGGCCGCGCCTTGATGGTGCGGTCCAGTCGCATCACCGCCAACGGGAGGGTTTGTTCGCCATGTCCCATTCTTCTGTTCGCCCAGAGGGTCTGTGGATGCCTTCAGGCGAACAGAACGGGACAGGGCAAGGAATGGGGAAGACTTGTCCGAATCTCCTGGGCCCCCCAGGTGCTCGTCCGAAGAATGCGGAGAGGTCCCAGGGTCATATCAATTGGCTGCTGTCCCAGGGGTCCGGTCTGCTTGGCGCGAAGAGTTCGACAAGGCCCTTGGGGGAACAGAATGGCACAGCATATCGGGCAAAGGGGGGCGGTAGCTGGACTGTCAGACCCGGCGTTCGCTTTCTGCCCAAGCGGCGCGGGGCCCACGGGCCCCAGGGTTGGCGGCCCGCTGGGTTTCCTCTTGTTCGCCCACAGGGTTGGAGGAGGCCTCCAGGCGAACAGAATGGGGCAGGACAATGAATGTGGGAGACTTGTCGCAAGCTCCCAGCCCCCCCAAGTGTGCGCCCGAAGGGTGTGGGGCCGCGTTGGCTCCCTCAAAGGGCCGTCTTGGAGCCGTCCAGGCCCGTCTTGAGGGCACCGTGTGCCGTGATGGGGCCGTCTTGGTTCGTCGTGGGCCCCTCATGGGCCGTCCGTAGGCCGTCCTGGGCCCATCGGGGTCCTCGTGGGGCTGTCTTGGAGCCGTCTGGGACCGTGAGGGGGCCGCCTTGGAGTCGTCTTGGGCCCCTCCTGTGCGCCTCCTTGGGCCGTCCTGGGCCCAGCAGGGGCCGTGTTGGCACCCTCTTGGGGCTGTCTTGGAGCCGTCTTGAGCCGTCGCAGCGCGCCTTGGGTTGTGCTGGGTCCGTCTTGGCCCGTCTTGGGGCCTTCCTGGGCGTTTCCTCGGACCCTCCTGGGACTTTCTGGGGCCTTTTGGTGCATCGGACCGCCGAAACGGCAGGAAACGCAAAGGGTGTAACAGCAAATAATGGAAAATTAACGATTTTTGCCAGCTGGGGCTATCTTGCCATCTTGGCCCGTCTTGAGGCCCCGACCGGGCGCGTCCTTGGGCCGTCCTGGGGCCGTCCTGGGCGCACCCTCCTGGGACCGTCTTGGAATCGTCTTGGGCCGTCTTGAGCGCGCCTTGGGCCGTCTTGAGCCCGTCTGGGGCCGTGTTGGCACCCTCGCGGCGAGGAAGCTCGGAGGCGGGCTCGAGGCCTCTTTGGGGCCATTTTGGAAGCTGTTGGGGCCTCTGTTGAGGCCTCGTCTGGGCTCCTTGGGAGCCTCCTGGGGCCTCTTTGGGGGATTCTTGGCGGCCCCTTGGGGCCTCTTGGGGGCCTGTTTGGGCCGCCTGGCGCCCTCTTGGGGCGGAATGCTCGGATTTTCGATCCGTGGTCCCCCTCTTGGCCCCCTCTTGGGCCTGTCTTCGGGCCCTCGTGGGCCGTCTTGAGCGTCTCTTGGGTCGTCTTGGGGCCCCTTCTTGGGCGGTCCTCGGGCCGTCTTGGAGCCATCTTGGGCCGCTCTTCGGGCCATCTTGGGGTCCCGTTGGCCTGTCTTGGGCGCCTCTGGGGCCGTCCTGGGGCCGCCTTGGACCGTATTGGGGCCCTCTTGGACCGTCTTGGGGTCCTCTTGGGGACCTCGTGGACCGTCTTAGAGCGGTCTTGGATGCCTCTGGGGGGGGGTTCGGAGCGTCGGGAAGCCGAAAAAGCGAGGAAGCAAAAAAAATCAGAAAAACCAAGAGAAATCAACGATTTTGGCCTCTCGGGGCTCTCTTGGGAGGCCTCTTGGGAGGCCTGTTGGGCCGTCTTGGGGAGCTCTTGGGCCGTCTTGGGCCAATCTCGGGCGTCGTGGCCGGATCATTGCGCGTCTCGGGGCCTGGGCCGCCTTCGGGGCATCTTGAGCGGGTCGGAGCCGTCTTTGAGCGGCTCGGAGCCGTCTTTGGGCCGTCGGGGCGGCCTCCGGAGCGTCTCGGAGCCGTTTCCGGCCATTTGACGCTTTTTCCTTCCGGCACGCGGTTCCTCCGGCCATATAGTATAGATAACGTCGGGTTCCAGCTTCACCTCCCTCATCTCGCTCAGCAGCGCCAGGGCCCGCTGCCACTGCTCGCCCTTCGCGCACGCGCTGATCTCAGTAATGTAGCTGATGGCATTGGGCTCCAGCTTCGCCTCCCGCATCTCGCTCAGCAGCGCCAGGGCCCGCTGCCACTGCTCGCCCTTCGCGCACGCGCTGATCCCAGCGCTGTAGCTGATCACGTTGGGCTCCAGCTTCGCCTCCCTCATCTCGCTCAGCAGCGCAAGGGCCCGCTGCCACTGCTCGCCCTTCGCGCACGCGCTGATCCCAGCGCTGTAGCTGATGACAGTGGGCACCAGCTTTGCCTCCCACATCTCGCTCAGCAGGGCCAGGGCCCGCTGCCACTGCTCGCCCTTCTCGCACGCACTGATGCCAGCACTATAGCTGATGGCATTGGGCTCCAGCTTCGTCCCCCACATCTCGCTCAGCAGCGCCAGGGCCCGCTGCCACTGCTCGCCCTTCGCGCACGCGCTGATCCCAGCGTTGTAGCTGACTAGGGCTGACCCGTGGACTCCGTCCACGACATCTTTCTGGAATGGTTCTCGGAGGAACGGCGCAAATTGCACCGAAAATCTACAAACACGGCGGCGGCTAGGGCGGCGGCGGCGAGTTTGGCGGTTCTCCTGGGCGGTCCCCTCGTCCGCCCCCCTCGCTTCGAGGCAGTTCTTTGGGGACCTCTTTTGGGCTCCTGGGGGGCTCTTGGGCCTCTCTGGGCCCGTCTATCGCGCCCCTTGGGCTGTCTTGGGGCCCCCTAGGGCCTTCTTGGGCGGTTCTCGGGCCGTCTTGGAGCCGTCTTGGGCCGCTCTTCGGGCCATCTTGGGGTCCCGTTGGCCTGTCTTGGGCGCCTCTGGGGCCGTCCTGGGGCCGCCTTGGACCGTCTTGGGGCCCTCTTGGACCGTCTTGGGGTCCTCTTGGGGACCTCTTCGACCGTCTTGGCAGGTCTTGGATGCCTCTGGGGTGGTGTCGGAGCGTCGGGAAGCCGAAAAAGCGAGGAAGCCAAAAAACCTCAGAAAAAAACAAGGGAAATCATCGATGTTGGCCTCTCGGGGCTCTCTTGGGAGGCCTCTTGGGAGGCCTATTGGGCCGTCTTGGGGAGCTCTTGGGCCGTCTTGCGCCAATCTTGGGCGTCTTGGCCGGATCATTGCGCGTCTCGGGACCCTCTTGGGCCGCCTTCGGGGCATCTTGAGCGGCTCGGAGCCGTCTGTGGGCCGTCGGGGCGGCCTCCGGAGCGTCTCGGAGCCGTCCTGGGGCCGCCGGGGCGCCGAGAGCCCCCAGGCTTGTCCCGACCCTTCCCGCACGCACGTGCTCCTGCATTGTAGTAGAGACTAAGGGCTGACCCGCGGACAACGTCCACTTGCGGGGTGAAGGGGTGCTGCCGCAAGGCGAGCAGGATGCATGGCGCCATGTTTGCCTGCCACAGATCGCTGAGCTGCGGGGGCGCCGGGTAGCGCTGCTCGCCCGTCTGGGAGCCCCCAACGAGCCCCCAACGACACCGACGACGGCGGCGGCGGCGGCGACGACGACGACGACGGCGGCGACGATGACGACGACGGCGACGACGACGGCGGCGGCGGCGGCGGCGACCACGGGCTGCAAGGCTAGGCTGGCCCGATTCAGGGCCACCGGCCCGCCGGCCCAGTCGGCGGTGCCGATTCTTGGCGCCCCGCGGCCCGCCGTCCCAGAGTCCTGCCCCTCGCTCCCAGGGCCATGCGCGCCTCTGAAGCCACCCAGCCGATTTTGGCCCCGACCCACCAGTCTGCAATCGGCGGGGCCGACTCTGGGCCGCCACGCCGCCGGTCCAGAATCCCGCCTGGCAGCCGCGCGCGCTTCCGGGTTCGGCCAGGACGATTCTGGGCCACAGGCCCGCCAGCCCAGAATCGACGGGACCAATTCTGGGCCGCCGCGCCACCAGCCAAGAATCCCGCCCAGCGCGCCCTGTGCTGATTCTCGCGCCTCTGGGGCGGGCCTACCCGTTTCTGGCCACTAACTCGCCAGCCCAATCGGCGGGACCGATTCTGGGCCGCTCTGGGCGCCTTCTTGGGCCGTCTTGCTTGCCTCTCGGGTGCTTATCTTGGGCCGTCTAGGCCCGTCTTTGGCGCCCCTTGGGCCGTGTTGGGCGCATCTTGGGCTGTCCTGGTGTCGTCTTGGGCCGTCGTGGGGCCCTCGCGGGGGCATCGTAGGGCGATCTTGGGGGCCTCTATGGCCGTCGTGGACGCGTCGGAAACGAAAGCACGAGAATGCCCAAAATATGCGCTTCCCGAAGGGAATGGGATAACTTTGACCTCTTGGGGCTCTCCTGGGAGGTCCTCCAGGGCCGTCTTGGGAGCCTCCTGGCCTGCCTAGGGGGCTCATGGGGCCGTCGAGGCGGCCTCTTGAGCGGCTGGGAACCGTCTTTGGGCCGTCGGGGCGGCCTCTTGAGCGTCTGGGGGCTCTGGGGGCCCTCTTGGGCCGTCTTGGTTGCCTCTCGGGTGGTTGTCTTGGGGCCGTCTGGGCCCGTCTTGGGCACCTCTTGGGCCGTCCTGGGCGCCTCTTGGGCCGTCCTGGGGTCGTTTTGGGCCGCCTTGGGGTCCTCGCGGGGGCATTCTAGGGTTCTTGGGGGGCCTTTATGGCCGTCGTGGACGCGTTGGAAGCGAGAAGCACGAGAATGCCCAAAATATGCGCTTGCCAAAGGGACTAGGCAAGTTTGGCCTCTTGGGGCTCTCCTGGGTGGGAGGCCCATCGGGCCGTCGTGGGCTGCCTGCAGCCCGAGAATTGCGCAGGGACCGACCGTCCCAGCATTCCTGTAGGCCTACCACGAAATTCTCTTGGAACCCAAGACTGTGTGAAGAACCACCACTATGTTCTTAGAACACAAGCCCGACGTGTTAAACACGATGGTCTCAGCCAGAAACGTTCTAAGAACAGGTCGCGCAGACCACAAAAGGTTCCTAGAACATTCTTTGGTGGGCCAATAGACAAGCCAGGACGCTTCGCCACTGCTCGAGAGCAGGCGAGAACGTGAAAAGCATCGAAAAACCCCAGAGAAATCGACAACAATGTGTGCCTCTCGAGGCCGTCTGGGGGGTCCTCTCAGGGGCTGTCTGAGAGCGTCATGAGAAGTTTTTGGGCTGTGTCGGAGCCGTCTTGCGCGGTCTCAGGGCGCACCTGGGCCACCTGGGGCCGTCTGGGACCATCTGGGGCCGCTCCGGGGGCCACCACGGCGGCTCCGTGGGCCCGGCCAGAGTAGCCCAGGGGAAGCCAGGAGACAACTTGGGAACCTCTCGTGCCATCTTGAAGAGGTCTGGGAGGCCCCTGGGGCCGTCGTGGGTTGCCTGAGGCCCGAGGAGGCGAGAACGCGAACATATTTTGAAAGAAACACAAAAAAAACATGGAAGTTTTTGAAGTCTGTCTCTGGAGGCCGTCCTGGGGGAACTCTTGGCTGGGGTCGTCTCAGGGCGTCATGGGAGGCTCATGGGCTGTGTTCCGCCTGGGGCCGTCTTGGACCGGCAGGGGCCGCTCTCGAGGGCACCATGGCGGCGCCCGGGGCCTGGCCGGAGCGGCCTGGGGGGGGGCCGGCTCACGACCACTAGCGCGCACCTTCGCGCGCGCGCGCTGGTCGCGGCACGGTAGTGGAGATGACATCAGGCTTCAGCTTTGCCGCCCGCATCTTGCTGAGCAGCACCAAAGCCTGGTGCCACCGCTTGCCCTTCTCGCACGCGCTGATGCCAGCGCTGTAGCTGACGGCGTCTGGCTCAAGCTTCGTCTCCCGTATCTCTCTAAGCAGCGACAGAGCCAGCTGCCACTGCTTGCCTTTCCCGCACGCGCTGATCCCTGCATTGTAGCTGAAATGAATTGTGTGTGCGCCCGTGGGGCGAATCCCGAGGCGGCTTGCTCATTTAACATGGCTCGGCCAAGTGGGGAGGGGGAGGAGGGGGAGGAGGAGGAGGAGGAGGAGGAGCAGTGATGTTACAGCACATCGATCCTTTGGGCCACCTTGGGGTCTGCCCTAGCGTGTTCCTGGCTGTGTCAGTGGGGGGGCAGGGGCCCCTTGCGATCCCTGCTACGTGCTACAAGGCCTCTTGGACTGGCAGTGGAACGGCTGGTTGATTTAAAATACGTGGTGTTGTTCTTGCTGCCTTTGCTGACACTGATGCTGGCGATGATGCTGGCTTCTGTTGAAGCTGTTTGCTGGTACCGTTGCTGAATGGTTATGGTTGTCGCTCTCTACTACTCGTTGATTGCCGACTGCTGCTGGCTGACTGACTACTCCTGGCTGCTGTTTCTGGCTTTGCTGCCTCTATAGGCTTCTTCGGGAAAACGAACGAGGGCCCCAAAACAGTGCGAGCACAGGGGCGGGCGAGGGGGCCCCAGGGGGGGCCCGCGGAGAGCCCGCCCAAGGCGCGGATATCTTCGCGCCCGCGCCGCACAGGGAGCCCCCTACAGCTTGCGTGGGCTGCTACGGTTACGAAAGCCTCCTTTCACAATAGGCCACATCTCCATGGCCCTGAAATCTACCTCCATGCCGTCCGAGTTGAACAACAATATCGTGATGATGCTCTTCCCAGGGTGCTGGCACCACTTGTGATATCTCTTGCCTAACTTGGCACTGACACGGGCGTCCGCGAAGTCCTTCCAAAATCCACTGTCATCTGGGGAGGAGGAGGGGGAGGGGGAGGAGGAGGAGGAGGGGGAGGAGGAGGAGGAGGAGGAGGAGGAGGAGGAGGAGGAGGAGGAGGAGGAGGAGGAGGGGGAGGAGGGGGAGGAGGAGGAGGAGGAGGGGGAGGAGGGGGAGGAGGAGGAGGAATGGGAATGGAATGGGAATGGGAATGGGATCAATGACGTAGTCATACAAATCAAAGAAAGAGAGAAGGTTGCCTGCCCGACTCACACGCACACCTTGAGGCCCTCGCGCCTGCCCGCCAAGGTGACACCCGAGGAAACGAAGTTGACGCCGTCTGTAGAGGTTGGCCGCCGTATGTACCCAACACAGTACGGTATTATTAAGCCAAACACGCCCAGCACCGCACGCCCACCGCGCCCCACGAATATCAGCCCTGCGGAAATGGCCACCCGCCCGTCGCATGCGACAAAACAAATGGCACCCATACAAAACCGTACTGCTGTGGCAATCACCGAAGCTAGTGCATTGGCATTACGGCGAGACTCAAGCGAGTGAAGAGCAAACAACCAATATAGAAACGAGGGCATTGAAATAAAATGGAAGTGTATTGCGGCCAATACGCGCTACAGACCCATAGGGTATCCCTCGAGCCCTCTAAGGAACAAAAAGCCACCCTCAGCAACAAAAAAATCTGAAAGTGTTTTGCTGCCAATACGCGCTACAGACCCTTAGGGTATCCCTCGAGCGCAATAAAGAACAACATACCACCCCCAGCAAAATGCGATACCATAAAAACAATGCAGGATTGAGGACCTACCAACAAGGCCATGAATGACATCGATCGGTACGTGCCCAGGCCAGCACCGGCGAGGACTTGACCACCTGCCTGGGAGAACATGAAGCGCACCAGGAGCAGATGGAAAGGACTGTCACCGTGCACCGCAATCGTAGACGTACTCTGGGAGGAGGAGGAGGAGGAGGAGGAGGAGGAGGAGGAGGAGGAGGGGGGAGGAGGAGGAGGAGGAGGAGGAGAGGAGGAGGAGGAGGAGGAGGAGGAGGAGGGGGAGGAGGGGGAGGCAGAGGCGGAGGAGGCGGCTCCCGGACGCCCCACCCCCCCTGGGGGCACTCACGTGCCTCCAGGGCACACCTGGGCGCCCCTTGGGGGGCATGTTTGCGTGATGGGAAGTTTCCGGGGGCGCTCCGAGGGGTGCGCTGGCGCCACCTCGAGGTGGCGCTGGGCCGTCTTGGAGGCATCTCGGACGCCAGCGCGGCCTGTCGTGTAGGGAGCCCGGTATGCCGCCGGAGGCCCTCTGAAGCCGCACAAGAAGGAATCTGACTATATGTTTGCGCGTCGGAGCTGATGACTGAGGCCGTACGGAGGGCTCTGGGAGCCATCGAGGCGCCGGTCAATCCTGATCCTGAGCCAATCCTGAGCCTATCCATCTGGGGAGGAGCCAACCCTCGGTCGACCTGGTGCCCTACGAGAGCGGCGCCAGGCGATCCAGCGCCAGCGCCTGGGAGTCTGCCGGAGCCGCCTGCCGTCGCTAGTCTTCACTTGTCGCAAGCGCTGCTCTGGGCATTGTGGTAAAGGCTCGTGTGTGTGTGTGCCCGTGCGTGGGATCTGCAGGTCAACTTGCTCGTCTAGCATGGCTCAGCAGAGGTGAGTCACACCGACGCCAGTCAATTACGAAGGCGGCGCGGCTGGTTCTTGGCACGCAATGGTGCAACGCAGTCGGCTGATGTGGTGGTTGGGCGTTGGAATCGGTCTCTCGAGAAGGCTCCTGGAAGGGCTCTGGAGGACTCCTCCAATCTCTTCTGATGTTTGATTGTGCTTTCTGCTGCTGCTGCTGCTGCTGCTGCTGCTGCTGCTGCTGCTGAGGCTGGCTGCTGGTTGCCGCTGCTTGCTGCTACAATTTGCTTCTGATTGGGACGTGCTGTACTTGCTGCTGTCTGCTCCTGATTGCTGATGTTGCTTGGTTACCGAGGCTGTTTGCTTCTGCTTGCCAATATGGATTCTTGATGCAACGCACTGCTGCTTGCTGCTGTTGCTACGTGATGCGTGCTTGTCCTGGCTGTTAATACTTGGCTCTGCCGCTGCTGCTGCTGACTCTGACACTTGCTTACTGCTGTCGCTAGCATGTCCAGACCTGTATCAGGCAAGTATTGGGCGTGCTGCTGCTGATGCCTCTCTAGGCTACTGCTCCTGCTGGCTATGCTGCTGGCGCTGCTGCTTGCCTGTTGCGATCGCTGACTCGTCCTATTCCATGCCCTCTTGGAGCCCTCTTGGGAATACCTCGGGGCTTTCTTGGGCTCTCTTGAGCATCTCTCTTGAAGCCTCTCTGCGTCATGTTGGTTTGGGTCCCTGTGGGCCTCATGAGTCTATTTCGAAGTCTGGAGGCCGTCCAGAGATTGGTGCCATCCTGTGACGGTCTTGGGCCGTCTTGAAGCCGTTCCGGAGAAGGCGTGGGAACGTCTTGGAGACCAGCTCGGGCGAACTGTGAGCGGTCCTAAGGGGAGTCGTCGTCCCACTCGGGGAAGGCGTGAGCCTCTTGGGCCCACTTCGCAGCGCCTGGGGCCCTTCTCTGAGCCATCTTGAGCTGGAAGGCAACAATGATCAGCGGATGACGTCGGGCTCAACCTTCGCCCCCCACATCTGGTCGAGAAGCGCCAAAGCCTGGTGCCACTGCTCGCCCTTCTCGCACGCGCTGATCCCAGCATTGAAGCAGCTGATGTCGGGCTCAAGTCTTGCCGCACACATCTCGCCGAGCAACGCCAGAGCATGCTGCCACTGCTCCCCCTTCTCGCACGCGCTGATCCCCGCGCCGTAGCTGACTCGGGCTGACGCGTGGACTGCGCCCGCCTGCGGGGGGGAATGGGTGGTGCCGCCAGGCGCGTTCACACCAGGGCCTCCTCCTCCGCCTCCTCCTCCTCCTCCTCCTCCTCCTCCTCCTCCTCCTCCTCCTCCTCCTCCTCCTCCTCCTCCTCCTCCTCCTCCTCCTCCTCCTCCTCCGCCTCCGCCTCCTCCTCCTCGCTTGCCACATCTCGCCGAGAAGCGAGGACGCCCGGTGGCCACGGGCGTCACGAGCCCTGGGTCGACGCTCGCCGCTGCCCGGAGGACGAGCTCGAGCGCGAGGGCGGCGTGCTGAGTTGCGTCCGCGGCCGGGGTGCCGAGGAGGCCTCGGCGCCCGCCCCCCTCGGGCGCGGACACCGCTCGACGCGGTGCGCGGCGGGGGTGCGCAGGCCGCAGCGCCCGAGCTCCCGAGCTGGGGGCCGCGACAGAATGGAACGCGCCGCCCGTGCGTTCAGTATCGCCCTCCTCGTCTCCCCGAGCTCAGGGGCCGCCCCGAAACCAGTCTGTCTCGCGCTCCTGGGGCACGTTGGGGCCTCGTGGGGGCCTCTTGGGAGTCCTCAGAGGCATGTTGGAGGTCATGGGCCCCTCTTGGTCGCTCTTGAGGCCTCGTTGGGGCCTTCTGGGGGCCGTCTTCGCGACGTCTTGGAGCCTCCTTGGGCCTCTCTGGAGCTGTCTTGGCGCCCTCCTGGGCCGTCTTGGCCTGTCTTGGGGCCCTCCTGAGGGCCTCCTGGACGGCCGGGACCGAGGAGGAAGTCCCCTAAGTCCGTCTTGAGCGGTCGAGACTCCGAAAAGGCGAGCAAGCTGAGCCGTTTTGGGGCTCTCTGAGGAGGAGGAGGAGGAGGAGGAAGAGGAGGAGGGGGAGGAGGAGGAGGAGGAGGACCAGTGTAAATCCAAGAGTCATCAACGATGTTAAAATTGACCCTCCCCCCAAGCTCCCTCTTCATAAGCCCCTACAACTGTTCATTTCAACTGAAGGAACTGCCTCGTTGGAAGACAACCGTTTGAAGATCCTGAAGCATGCCAGAACATTGTTCTCGCGATTTCAACGCCACGGATCAACCTGACTGCTGCGCCTTGACGATCCGGAATCGTGTCAGAACGCCATTTGTGGGAATTCACCACCGCGAGCCAACATAACTGTTGCACCCGCATAATCCGGAATCCGTCCCAAACACCATTTCTGGTGCGTCGGTCATGGGAAATGCGTGAAATTCTTGCTACGGTTGCACACGAGTGTGCGCGGCGCTAAAGCAAGAACCACATCTTGAAAAGGAACCGCCCTCAATCCGTGAAACTCTTGCAATGTTTAAAACGAACGTGCGCCGCGCTAAAGCGAGACCAACATTTTGAAAAGGAACCGCCCTCAATCCGCGAAACTCTGGCAAGTTGTTAAAACGAATGTGCGCGGCGCTAAGGCGAAAGCCACATGTCGAAAAGAAACCGACCTCAATCCGTGAAACTCTTGCAACATTAAAAACGAATGTGCGCGGCGCCAAGGCGAGAACCGCACTTTGAAAACGACCCGCCCTCCATATGTGAAGCTGTTGTCCCGCGTTAATAAGCTTCAGGTTATAAGTGGTGAGGAAATACCATGCGAAACGCACAACCCGCCCTCAAAACTGGCCTTGGGGTGCGACAACAGAAATTAGTCCCACCAGCCCTCTGGGCGTCGGTGGTTTAGAGCGTTTCCTCTTCCACCCCTCCTTCTTCCCCTTCGGGGAGGGGTTTACCCCTCCCCCTACCCCCTCCCCACTGACCTGGACAGGGGGTTCCGCGGCGCGCTGGAGCGCCCAAGATCGACCCCTGGGAAGGCTAAAATTCGACACCCCTCACGAGGATCGTGGCTCCTGGGGGGGGGACTCTAATTAAGGAACCCCTCTTCTTTGATCGATTTCCTCCACGATGGCCGCAAGAGGCCCCCAGGATGCCCCAAGAGGCCGCAGGATGGCCCCAAGATGACCCCAAGAGGCCCCCCAAGAGGCCCCCAGGAGGCCCCCAAGAGACCCCCAAGAGGCCCCAAGAGACCCCCCAGAGGCACCCAAGGTGCTCCCAGAGGCCCCAAGATGGCCCCAAGAGGCCCCAAGAGGCCCCCAGGAGGCCCCAAAGATGATCCCGAACGGCCCACAGAGGCCCCCCCGAGGCACCCAAGACGCCGAAAAAGCCCCTCAGGACGACCCTCTACTCGCCTGGGCGCCGTTTCTGGACGGGCTGGTGGGGATACGCGAAGCGTCTAGAATTATAAACGAGAAGAGTGAAGGAGGAGAAGAAGAAGGAGAAGGAGGAGGAGGAGGAGGAGGAGGAGGAAAAGGAGAAGGAAGAGGAAGAGGAGGAGGAAGAGGAGGCGCAAGAGATGGAGGAGGCGGAGGAGAGGAGGAGGAGGGAGGTAGGAGGAGGAGGAGGAGGGGGAGGAAGAGGAGGAGGAGGAAGGAAGAGGAGGAGAAGGAGGAGAGGAGGAGGAGGAGGGGGAGGAGGGAAAGGAAGACAAGGGGGGAGGTGGAGGAGGAGGAGGAGGAGGAGGAGGAGGAGGAGGACGGAGGAGGAGGAGGAGGAGAAGGACGAGGAGGAGGAGGAGGAGGAAGAGGAGGTGGTCACTGCATGAGGGAAACAGAACCCCGAGCAGAGCAACACGCACCACGACCACGACGACGCCGACGACGACGACGACGGAAACGAGGCGAGCTTACGATCCGCACCGAAGCACGGATTTGGGAAAGGGCACACCCTGCAGGTTCGGTTAAACAGCACATCGTTGAGCGGTGCTGCAGCCTCCCCTGAGCACAGGCACCCCCAGAGCATCAGCCAGACAAGTCGGGTTTGCACCCTCATGCCTTGCTGGACTCTGGGCGCGTTTCGGCACCCTCTCCCCCAACCTCGTCAGGGCCACCGACAAGGGAGAGGGCGGCGGTGGCCGACGCGTCCCCGAGCTAAGAAGCTCAAAGCGCCGCGGCTCAGAGAGCCGGGAAGACAGACAGACAGGAGGAAGAGGAGAAGGAAGAGGAGGAGAAGGAGGGGGAGGAAAAAGAGGAAGAGGAGGAGGAGGAGGAGGAGGAGGAGGAGGAGGAGGGGTAGGAGTGAGAAGAAGGAGGAGGGGGGGGAGGAGGAGGAGGAGGAGGAGGAGGAGGAGGGCGTGGAGGAGGCGGAGGAAGGAGGAGAGGAGGAGGAGGAGGATGTAGCCATTTTGGCTCAAGGCCATATCGGGAAACCCCCGTCTCAAGTGGCCTTGCCCGCCGCGCGCGCGAGACCCTGGAGACGCCCTGTTGGACAGGGGCTCTCTGCTTTCATTCTATCCTTTCCATATTCATTCCGTGTACTGTTGGTGTCCCGCCTTCGGGCGGCACCGTAGACCTGTGCAGCCATTCTTCCTCTCGCGCGATGGATCGGCGGAACTTCAAGTGGCGCCGAGATGCCACCGCCGCGTGGGACGAGTGGGAAGATGGCGGTGGGAAAGGTGGTAAGAGCGGCCGTGGTAGAGGAGCGGGACGAGGGGGCAAGCCTTCGGCCCGAGCAGCATCTCCACGTCGCCAGCCTTCCCGCACACGAGATGGACACCTCCAGCATACGGCGCACTCCGAAGGGGGTGGGCCACAGCATAGATGGACGTGTGCTCTCTGCGGTTGTAAGAAGAACCTCGGCAAGTACGAGTACTGCAAACACTGCCATGAATGGCGTACGGAAGCTCCCACTGACGTGTCGGCTCTTGCTCTTCCTCAGCCTGCTGGTGGGAGTCATGAGCGGCGCGGCTCGCGAGGTGCAGCCAGGCGGGCCCTCTCTGCCCAAGGCGGGGGTCAGGAACCGCCAGCGTTGCCGCTGTATGACGCCAGTGGCAAGCCAGGGCCCACGATCGACGAGCTGGAGAACTTCGTGGGGCTTGCGGAGAAGCTGGGAGACAAGAACACGGCAGCCAAGTATCGTGCTCAGCTTGAGGAGTTGCGACGCGGGTCAGAACTCACGGTGCAGGAGAGGGCTCAGCGGACACACGACAGAGAACAGCAGCTCGAGGAGATGCTGGCGACGGAGGTTGACAAGCTCGAGATGCACCAGGGGTGGGTCGGCGCGCAGCCCAAGTGTGTGCGTGTACTGGAACAGTCCTTGCAGGGGGCCGATGCGGAGTATGCGAAGATCGCGTCTGAGTTGGCGACTACCGTGGCAAAGGAGAAGGAGCCAGGCCACACTGCAGCTGGCAAGCCAGTGGAGGCCAAAGTCTCCTTGGCGGATGTCGTCGATGGCACGCAGGACGTGGTCAGCCTCATCGACTTCGATAGTTTCTTCAAGGTTGGCGACGAGTTCGAGGTGTCTGCCGAAGACGCCCGCGAGATCGAGTCGCGGAAGGAGCAACTCAGGCAGCAGATGCAGTCGGTCACGCGTGGCCTGTTCAAGTCAGCGCTGGACAAGGTGGACAGTATCAAGTTGGAGCATGCTGCGCACCTCACGCGTCTGGCGCGCAAGCGTGCCCGACGTGGCGACGAGCCTACGCCAGTGGCAGCTGATGATAAGGCAAAAGATGGCACGAGTACTGGAGTGGATCGCGGAGAGCAGCCAGTCCAGCACATCTCAGATGCGAATCACCACAACGCCTTCCTGCCGTCGCAAGGGGAGGCGCCAGCTGCTCCTGCGCAAGGGGCGTCAGCTGCCGCGGCAGCAGATGGCGGCGCCCCCGCAAGGCCTTCGCAAAGGGCAGCGCCTGCGGCGAAGCCTGAGGCCAAGCCGAAGGTCCCCTTCGCGGCCCCCCCCCCAACGTCCGCGCTCGGACGCAGCGCGCGCTGGGTGAAGCGGGCGGCCGAGACGCTGGCGGCAAGGCAGATGGCGGCAAGAGGGGCGATTGACTCCCCCCCGTCGGTCGCGACGGTGTTCGACGGCCTGGACTCCGA